CACCTGTCTCATAGACTTGCCTTCTTTTCTATCCTTATGTCTCTGTGTGGGCCACAGAGGGCCCTCAACTGACCCTCAGTCTCAGTGTACCCTTCACTAGCCCACCATAGCCACCACTGCCTTTCCACCCTCAGAAAACACAAATCTGATCTGATGAGGTCACTGTCAAGCTACACCCCTCTGGAGGCTCCTACCACTCTCAAGGTAAAATTCAAAGTTTTGGGCCTGGCACTTGAGGCTTTTCCTAGTCGGTTGCCAGGCCAGCTCCCTATTTTCCCTTCCCCTCTTTCCTCAGACACCAAGAACTACCCATTGCCCCTTTCTCAACAGCTGGGGGTGGGAAATGAACCTGTTACTTCACAGAAACTATCCCAGATAGGTATGGTAGCACACACCTATAATCCCAGTACTGAGGAGGCTAAGGCAGGAAGATCTCCAGGAGTTAAAGGCCAGCCTGGACTACACAGCAAGATTCTGTCTCAAGAGCCGGGTGTGGTGGCACATGCCTGTAATCCCAGCACTTGGGAGGCTGAGGCAGGAGGATCGCTGTGAGTTTGAGACCAGCATGGGCTACATAATGAGTTCCAGGTCAATCTCAACTACATAGTGAGACCCTGTCTCAAAAAACAAACAAACAATCCTGTCTCAAAAACAAACAAAAATACAAAAATATATGCTCTCTCTGCTCAGCAGTTTCTTTTCCTTACATGTTCTTGGCTCTACTGACCATTCTTCAAAATGAAGCTCAAGGCTTTCTCTGAAGCCCTGCACCCCTCCACACACATGGTCCAGCTGGATACGGATAGTTTTTACCCAAAGAAAATCTTCCTACCTCTCTGGGAAATGACTATCTCTATGTTTGTCTCCTCACTGCACTGTAAGCTCCCTGAAGGCTGACAGCAAATGACTCACCACTGTGACTAGCACATGAAAATCTCACATGAAATCTAAACTCAATAAACTCATTTTGAAAGAGCTGAGAAACTCATCAGATAGTGAACTTCAGCTGGTTCACAGTAAAAAGCCCAAAGGTTTTTTTTTTGTTTGTTTCTTTGTTTGTTTTGAGACAGGATCTCACTGTGTAGCTGAGACTGACCTGGCACTCACTATGTAGCCCAGGCTGGTTTTGAACTCAGAGATCCTCCTGCCTCAGCCTCCTGAATGCTGGAATTACAGGTGTGCACCACCACACCCAGCTCTATTTCTTTGATAATATCTGTTTGGAAGTTGATGCTGCAGCCACTGAAACTACTGCTTCAAGTTTAAAAGGGTTTCTTTCTTCCATTTACAAAGTTGTCATAACAGAAAAGGTATGTTCAATGTGCAAACAGGTAAAACATTGAACAGGGTAAATGTTAAGTGCTTTTTTACAACCTGCCTCGTTGTCCAATGTACTTTAAACCAGAAACTATCCAAAAGTAAATACTTAAATATTTCTTCTGAGGTTGGCTCAGTCTCTAATGAGGACTAGGAGCAAAACTGCATGTCCAAGGTCACTGTGACCTGCTGGACAGTCCAGGCAGGCAAGGTTAGGGACAGGCAGCAAGGCCCATCTGCAGGTGAATTTATAGACAGAGGAGGTTTTATCATTGTTATGAAAACCCTGCCTACATTACTTCTGCATCCCAGGTCACCCTTAATCCAGTTGAAAGCTACTGCATTAGTTTACTAGTTCACATCCATCACTCTGACAACACCACCTTGGTTTCAACAACCACTGAGAGACCCTCTGGCCCACCCCATGCCAGGCAAAAGAGGAACAAAAGTGAACAGGATGTGACTCACAGGCTAAGACAGAATTCTAAATGGAGCACTCGCTACCTAGTACTTTCCATAAAGGCTTTACCTGAGAGTTGAGGAGATTAGGTGAGTATCAATGTTCAGAATAAAAGGAAGTACATGCAGAAGTCATACCCCAGCTATAAACAGTAACTGTAACAGCTTTGAGGTTTCTTGATCAGTTCTCATGTGGCTTGGTCACTTCCTTAAAGTCAAAGAATCTGCTCACTTATCTTCAAAGCGATTGAGCAAACATTTACAGGTGCCTACTTTGTGCCAGGGATAGAGTGAAAATGGAGCTCTTCTGGGTCAGGGATTTAGCTCAGTGGTGCCACGTTTGTCTGGCAAACACAAGGTCCTCAGTTCCATGGGGGTGGGGGAGAAAATGGAGCTCTTCTCTGCCCTCAAATGGATGAAATGGCACTTCACGACATTATGGGATGGTTCTGCAAATTGCTGAAAGTCACCTGCTGACCCTGGAGCAAACACCCAGCAAAAGTGTTTTCATTCACCACGGAAGGCAGGCAGACTTCCAGCCTTTCTAGACTTCTGCTATGGATAACCTGTTGGGGAAAGACAATAACACCAACACCACCCCAGCCACTAACAGACAGCCTGGGTCATTCGATCCAGGTGATTTAGACAATCTCTGGCCTTTAAAATCAGTGAGTCCTCATCCAGAGGGCCTACATAACAACTGTTTCTACACAGCACTTGATCACAAAGGAGTCTGTGGTCAGGCCACCAGTACCCCTGCCTGAAGGGGACCCTGACAGGTGTAGCCCAACCTCAGGCTGTGCCAGTGTTGCCCCCTAGCTGTGCTTCCTCACGGCTTGGGGAGCACAGGACCAGGGTCCTTGTTTTTACTTCCTTGGGCACAACCTGAAGGAGAGCTGTCGGTGGCCCGACCAGGGGGCACCTTCCAGACAGGTCTCCGAGGCTGGGAAGAAGAAATCTAGGCATCAGGTAGGCAGGTTGTCAGGCTAAGCAAGTGATGGGCTGAGGAGCTTTCCATCTCCAAGGGCAGAAGGGAGCAGACCAAGTCCAGAAGAGGATTTCCTACCCGGCAGAGGCAGAAAATGCCTCAAGGAAACATGACAAAAGGACACCTCTTTCCGATGACACCTCGCACTGGGCCGGGAGAGCCGCGGCGGAGGGGCGGGGGAGTGGGCTGGCTGGCCAGAGGG